CCGAAATGACGGATCCATTATCTAAAATACATAATTACTACCAACTAACTAGTCGGAATAATAGGACTCCATAAGACAGCCTAAATATCACAACACGTACTACAAGACCAAAAGAAAAAATAAAATGCTCCCACGAGGACAATACATACTCCCAACAGGAGAATAACACGCTCTCAAAATGAGAAAAACACACTTTTAAAGAGAAGAAACAAAAAACAACCCAAAGACACCCCACACTAAATATAGAAAACACAAACTACAAAAACAAATGAAAAAAGCACCTAGAAATACTAGAATAAAGCCCTCATCCCAGCTTGACATCCCCGCCAAAACACCACTACTCTAAACCATCGACGGCACCCACCCAAAAGGCAGATAGTATGGCCTAAGACCCTGATACAAGAACTCCCTTCAAAGGACGGTTAACCAGACTCCGACCAAAGGCCAACCAAACACCAACGAAAGAATACCTGCAGGACCTTGCCCACTCCTTCCCCTACACAAACTGGCGACCTCGACCCAAACTGACCTAGACAAGAGCCGCTACCGCCGGAGGTCCACACCATCCAAATACCAAGGGATGGCGGGACAGGAAAGAAGAAGACGTCGAACCTCAGCTCGACCTCCGACCTACGACAATCGAAGCCGGCCACCTTGGGACGACCGAAAAATCATCAGAAATCCAACACCCCTAGGCCGCCCAAACTCTAGGGGGAGTCGATTCCTCTACGAATTTCCCTCAACAGCTCAAGTGTTTGTTTATCCCATTTTTGTTGCATTTTTCGTTGTTATTTTGCCTTTATTTTTCTCCCGTTTTAGGTTATTTCTGTGGTTTTTAGTCATTTTTGCAGTTTTTGCATGATTTTCTTTTTTTTGAGTTTTTCTGTGTTTTTCAATCTTTTTCCCGATTTTCTCCATTATTCTTGTATTTGATGTGCAGGTCGGAAGCTTCGAGAGGATAGGATTTCAGAAAAAAAATTGGTCGTACAAGCATAATTAATTAGAAGGGTTCATTGGCGATAAGTAGGAAAAAGCATAACTCAATTCCGAGTTCGGACGAGCTCAAACGAGCCTGAAACATAAGTCGTGCAAGTAGCCCAGGCCTCTAGGCCTCGCCCAGCAGCTCACTGCTTGCCCCATATAGACCCGCCCCTGCACGCTCGCGCTCCGAGGATCGTCGCCACGACCCACGAAGACACCTGCGACCGCGCACTACTTCTGCGCTTGCGCGTCCGCGGCCTGGGAGGAAGTTGCGCCCGCAGAGCAGCACAGCGCTGCGACCTGCAGCGAGTTCATGCCTGCGGAGAGCCATTGCGCCTGTGAGCGCGCGGCAGCAGAAGAGACTTGTGGTCGCGAAGGGCGCGACCAGTCTTTTAAAAACTCAGTTTTGCTCGATCTTTTGAGCACTTTTCATTGGGATACGTTCCCAGACCTAATATATGAACTCCAGACCCAGTTTTCTTTAACTTTTCTCTCGAGAACTTGAATCTTATACTTGGATTTCATGTTGATTTCTATTCTATTTCTCGGATTAAGTTTGTACATCGGATTCAACATTCGATCTCTTATCAATCGTAAGTTTTCCTTTTCATCTAATCTATAAATATGAATGCTTGGATTATTGTGAATGCTTTTATTGAATTCCATATGAGTAGCTAAATCCGATTTACTAGGGATAGGGGATGATACGTTGGATTCCATTGTGATTGCCGTGCTTGTTGAATCATTTAATTTATGCGAGTTAATTTGAAAATAGGATTTTTGATCTTCATGCTTGAATGTGATTATTTTTGAAGAGTGACACTTCAATTTACAATTGGTTTTCAATTGAATGTGATTTATACTTGTGTGTTGTTTTCAATCCTAATAGACTAGTTGATTAACTTTTAGTTCATTTTAGTCGACTCTTAGAACCGAAAGGGGAGGAGTCAATCGATCTAGGCTCGTATAAATCTCTGAACGAGTAGGTTATTTAAATCTTTTAACCGAACAATCACTTGCTCGTTAATTGCATTTCGAACCAAAACTATTATCCCCGACTACCTAGCTTCCTTATCACTGTTGATTAATTGCTTTTGCTTTTATTTCTGAGTTTGCGTTTCTGAACTCCTTAATTGTTAGTTACAATCCAAACCAATATTTGAATTAGAGTGTTTAGTTATTTAATTTCTTCTTTTTGTGCTTGAATAATCGTGCATTATAATCCGTCTAACCTTCCTCGAGAGATCGACTTGGGAAATGAATCCTTCGATTCGGTACTCGATAATAACATAATTTGCTACAACAGTGTTGCAAGGAGCCGCGGGAGACAAAGCCCCGGTTGGAGAGAGGGCTTACGAGGAAAAATATCGTGAGTGTTTACGGTTAAAATTTGGGATTTTTGGCCCGAGAGGAGAGAGAGAGGCGTTTCAGCTTTTTAGACAGTTGGCCCTTTTTAAAATACATACAAGTTAGATGCACAAAATACAGTTCCTAGTTTTTTGCACAAAATAACAAATTCACTAATGCATCGATTTCCCAAATGAAAACTATAGGAATTTTGAAGCCATGGTCATTTTTATTATGCCACCTAGTTTTGGAGAAAAAATGATGTTGTATGTACACAATCTTGAAATAATTGTCAGTCATAATATGTGATAGCTCTAATTTTTGTATGCCATATAACACTTAGCAAACCTATAAATCTACTCAAAGTTACATATATCATACGTTACAAATCAAACCAACTAGATACTGTAACATAAAAAACTTGACCTGAACCCTAGTATTGATAACCTGAACCGCCTCCCATTGTCCCTTAATATGGTCGTACAACCATTCCAAAAGCTAGCTTATTCATGTACATAATCATATATTGGTGGGACTCTAAAATGTAGCACCACATGCTAAGCTTATATAAAAAGAAAGCTTATCTGTCGTCACGAAAATAAAATAGCACTCGAAAAATAGTATAATCCTTCATTCAGCATATGGGATAAAAACATTCAGAACCAGTCATCTCAAAAGAACCAAAATCATCTGGAAGAGAACTTGTAGTTTAACATAAATGATTAGCGTATCAAATTCTTGAGTTAAATATCATATGTTTCCAGCAATCTCCTTTATAAGAATATAAGCCCTTTTAGTTTAAGCACCCTTTCTGCTCATGAATATTATGTTGGGCTCGGAGAAGAACGCCGATGATCGTGCATTGAATCAGATCAAGAATATAAGAAAAGAATCATATGCGCAGCGAACCTAAAGTTATGATTCAGATCTTACTTTTTAAAATTTGTCGACTCTTAGACGACTTACAGGACCATACGAATAAGTTGACCTCTAGAACTTATGTTGTGACACCTCTCCTCGCTCATCTTGGTTGGTGATGGCTGCTCGGATTTCCCATCTCAAGTTCACGCATGTTCGATCTCGAGAAGAACAAAGGAGACCTTGTGCTTTGTCTTCGAATTTCTTTCCAATATGTACGTCACTAGTAGAAAAAACAGTTTTTATAACGGGTAAAAAAAGCTTTTTATAACGGTTTTGAGTTTGTTATAGTTTCAGTTGTTAGAGCATCTCCAGTGCTCAACTTTCAACATTAATTAAATTTAAACACATGTCAATCAATGGATTAATGTTTAATCTACATGAACTGAATGTTAAAAGAATAGGACTTTCATTTGAATTGTTGCCTCCAATGCATCCATTCAACAACCATACAATTTGTATATGTGGATTTATTCAATTATTAATAAAATCAAAGAGTATATTAGAAAAGAAAAACACAAATTCCAATAATTATATGCATGATGTTATTTTTTGTTGATTCAGTTAATTTTTATTTATATCATTAAATTTATAAAATTATTATTTATTCAATAATTTCTCAGTTACAATATGTATAACCACACAATAAATATTTTTTTAATCGGTTCAAAATAAAACAACAAAATATTAAAATTGCAATAACTCAACAAACAAATATCATGAACATAATATTTTACTTTTCAGGACATTATTATTGGTAGCTTTTTTAAATTTTAGTTGTAACTCATCAAATAATTATACTGTATTCAAATAAATTCTCAAATGTTTTCTTTGATAAATGTAAGGGTGGGATTTTTCCAAGTTTATGAAAAGCTCAAAATTTGTGTCAAATAATTATCAAAATGCTGAGTCATCATGTTAGAAAGAATGTGAGAAATTAGAAAGTGAGCTTGAAATGTTAACATTAACTTTTTACACATAAGCATGAAAGGACCCACAATCTAATGCATTGGAGGATAAATTATTCACACACTTTCCATCTAGATGAGGTGGATAACTTTTTACTCTTTCAAAAGAATGCATTAGAGATGCTCTTATAGAAAGAATGGACTTTCTATGATGGGTATGACCCGTTATAAACTAACTTCCATTTATAAACGGTTAGCGTAGACCCGTTCCAGAATTGGTCAGTTAACTGGGACGAGACTGAATCTGAGAAGGAAACTATTATATTGACAATGAAATGGATCCTAGATGCAGCTACACAAAAGGGGTGGAAGGATATAGCTTGTTGTCTGGATTCAAAGGATGTAGTCTTGTTGTTGAATTCAAATAATTCTGTTAGCTCTTGTTTTGTTTTGTGTTTGAAGACATTTGAACTTTAAAATTCTTGTTTGTTTCTTGTTATTTTTTGTTTGGTTATGTTTCTGGTTGATGTGTCTAGTTTTAGTTATGTTGTATTTGTAGGGAGAGCAGTTTGTCTCTCTCGTGGATTTCTATCCTAGTGCTCGTTATAAAAGAAATTATGTAATCAGTTGATTATTTTTTGTACATTTTAAGATTTATTAATTATTAATATAATTTGTTATGTTGGAAAAAAATGTTCACTCAATAATTTATAATTTAATTGGAATAATAACTCGTGAATTCACAGTTTCACCGTCAACGAGATGTGAATACTGATAGCTCATTTATATTTATACTTATATAAAAGTGGATCCTATTTATTATATTTAGTATCAAAAAAGTCAACAACATTAAATGACATTACTATTTCGATATTAGAATATTTTATAGTCAATATAAAATATTTTGAGGAAGACAATTTATGAATCCACTTGCCCTAATAATCTCATTCAGATTTATTAGGTATTGATTGGGGACATTATAATCAGATTTTTTATTATTACACATAGATTAATCGTAATACTAATTTTATATATATAATCGATCATATATTTTTATTATTACACATAGATTATATTTTTGATTCATTATATTGCATTCAGATTTATTAGGTAATGATCTAAACATATAATGATTATATATAATTTAGGGTTACATTTATGTAGATCAATCATTCATATTTTTTATAATCATTATATTTTTAATCCGAAATTTTACGTACTAAAATTTACGAAATAAATTTATAAATCTTACATTTTTCAGAATGAATTCAACAGTATTCCTTTTTATCATATAATAAAATAATAATTAAATATTATATAGTGAACAACAATAAGTAAAACTGTTACTTTCTCTTATATCAAAGGATAAATTTATATGCTAAAATTAAATTTTTATTAGTATAAATGTTTTAGTGAGATAATATATTAATTATTTTACAAGCTAGCCTTAACATGCTCATATATAATATTCTGGCTAAAAAAAACAACGCTGGTTAAAAGATGTGGAGAAAAACTTATAATAACCCTATTGTTTTTTAGACTTAACGTTGATTAAAAAAGGTAAAAAATAGATAGTAACCCTATTATTTTTTAGACTTAAACGGACAAGGGTGTGAAAATAACTCATTTAATATCTCTGTCCCGTGCATCGCATGGGGTACGTACTAGTTTATATAAAGAGAATAAGCATTTACTAAATATACTAGCAAAAAAAATTTTTAATGCATGCCTTCTTAGGAAACCTTTTAAATATATGCATTAATTGTTTGCATATAGATGTTTCCAAATTATATCAAATCAAATATAATAAAAATATATTTACCTTGATTATTAACATCTGCAATAATATTATTGACATTCATTATAATAAACTTCAAAATTGAGTTTCTATGATTATGTTGATAATATTTTGGTCAAGATAAACATAAAAACATATTTTAAGTTCTAACAATATTATTATATTTTTTCACAAATATTGACTTTTCTTCCTAAAATAATTATAAAAAATCGTAACAGGTAATTAGGTAAACATTTTTCTTCCAATTAATTAGGAAAAATCAAGTTAGCGAATTAATCTTTATCAATATAATTTTTTCTTAAACTTTATTTCGTTATATTATAAATTATTCATCAAATTAATATAATTTACCATTTAAGAGATAATGAATATATCCATTAAATAAATTTACTAATGGTCAGATAATAAAACTAAAATATATTAACCATTCTTTAGAATTTCAACATGTGATTTATTTGTATATTATGTCAACCATGATTAATTTTTTATTTTTTGTTTTTATTTTGATTTATCTCCATAATGAAGTTCTTGTAAAATATATTTTCATTGCATAGCATAAAACCTTATGATACAAATTAGTAAAATCTCTTGACTGGGGCGGGAATTTAGTTTTTAGCAATTGTTAAATCAAAATTGTTTACTTATTATAAAAAATTAAATACTAAAATAACATGTGTGTATATTTTGTAAAATATTTATACATAATATTTTATTTTGAATTTATTTATGTAATTTAAATTTACTACATTAATAAATAAAATTAACGTACATCAAATATTTTTCATTATATAAAATCAGAAGAAGAAGAAGACTACTTCTATAACTTTTATTTAAAAAAAACTATAATGACATTATATGACAACAAATTCTATAATAAAATAACTAATCAAGTATTATATGGTGAACAAGAATATGTAAACTATTTATATATATATATACTAAAATCAAATTTATATTAGTATAAACGTTTCATCTGGATAATATATTAATTAATTAACAAATTAGGGTTAATAGGCTCAGGTTTAACGTTATGACTAAAAAATCAATTCTGATTAAAAGAGATAGAAAATATATGATCCAATTCTATTATTTTTCAAGCCTAAACGCACATACTTTATAAAAATGATGCATTTAAAAATTTCGGTGGCACGGGCTACATACTAGTGACTTTGAGTCACCGAAGAGGAAAAGTGGGAACACTATTAATTTTTATTAAAAAAAAAAGAAAATACTATAAATACATAACAAATGTATATATAACACTCAGATAGAGTGAGGTCCATTTAATTTTTTATTTTTGGTGGATCCCAACACAATTTGTGTTGAAAAAAAACGAGATGCTAATACCGCACCCGACCCGATTTATCTCCTCGATCAATTCCCAATATTTGTTTCTAGAGACGTATTCACAAGAACCTCGCACTGAAACCTCCTATCCACACCACCGTCGTCTTCCAGCTCTGTCATGGCCGGAGAATCGGAGAGCTTCCCGACACCCGCTGAGGACACCTCCGAGTATGGTTTCGAGCGAGCAGAGATGTACCAGGGCAGTCTCATCGGCACCGTTGACCCGTACGAGCGCCACGTGTTCCTCTGCTACAAATCTCACGAGACGTGGCCTTCACGCGTCGAGGATTCGGATTCCGATCCTCTCCCTCAGCTGCTTGCTTCTGCTCTGAAAGCTCGTAAAAATGATATCAGCGTCAAGGTCCATCCTAATACTCGTGTGGCTGTGCGCCCTGCTTTTTTTTTTAAGCTTTTAAGAACGAGATTGACGCTTAGTTGTGTTAACATAAGCAAAAACTTGTTTAATATTTTTCTTCTTATATATTTATACTATACATTTCGTTACGAACTTGTTCAGTACAGCTCAGGCGAACGTGGTATTGGCTTAGTGCTCTACTTGTTTCGTTGTATCTGTTCTCTGGAATGTGATATTAATTTCGCACTTTAGGACTAAATGTTCTGTGTGTCTGCTGCTTTTCATTAGGACTGGAGAGAAGTATTTACTAGAATCGCTTAACTAGTACTGTGCATTTGGACAGATGCTTCTTTCTGCATTATATAGCTAGATTTATTTGGCTGTTGTGTTTGGTTTGTATTAAGTTTTGATACATGTGATATGGTGAACATTTTTTATTCAGACTTTCATTTGTTTTATTGTGAAGCATTATTGGTTAGTATTTGAATGTTTCATACCAGACCTAGTAACATGTGTATCTTTTAATCTACTTTGTCCTGTTTTATTTTATTCTTCTTGATATTTGGCTAATTTAGGTTGGTATGAGATAATAATTGCACAGAAAATATGTTTATGTTTTGATGATCTTTTCTCCATGATTTGATGATCTTGTAATTTGTAGACTCGCTTGACTATTTGCGAGGGAGGCGATGGTTTGAAGTTCTCAGATGGAGATGTTTTAATCTTCCCTGAAATGACCGTATGTAGGTATGGATTTTTTTTATATGGTCTATGATATTCTTTTCTTTCCACGTAATCTAGTTTTACTGGTTTCTTTGATGGCTCAGTTTTTAGCGTGTGTTTTACCATCTTATATGCGTCCTTTGCAGCTAAATTCACCTGGATTTTTTCATTTAAGTTCCTTCCTTTTGCTATGTAAATTAGTTTTCTTCAATTAGTCCGACCAACAGAAGTTCAATTTTTTACCTTCGCTTCAAATTTATCCCACTGGGGACAACTTCTGCTTTTCAAAAGTAGAACTCACTGCTTGCAGTTCGGGATGTGTATTAAATGTCTTCTGTTTATGTTGTATTTATAAATTAACTACTTAATTGTGCTATTTCTAATGAGTTTGAAGCTATCTTATTTATGTTCTCTGAAGGGGTTTGACGGAGTCAGATGTTGATAGCTTTATTGAGGATGTGCTCGTTAACGGGAAGCCTTGGCTATCTGGAATGCAGGAGGAGTTGGCTGGTTCTTATGTGTTTGTTTGTGCTCATAACAAACGAGACCGTAGGTGTGGTGTTTGTGGCCCAATTCTTATTGAAAGATTTAAAGAAGAGATTGGGTCCAAGGATTTGAAGGACCAGGTTTTTGTGGCTGCCTGTTCGCATATAGGAGGACACAAGTATGCAGGCAATGTGATAACTTTTAGTGCGGATCCTCATGGCAAAATTGCTGGCAATTGGTAATATTTATGCTCGCGCATTCTCTTGTTTTATTATTGAACTATTTGCACAATGCGTAAAGATTGTTTGGTTGAGCTCATAAGCTCCTCGAAACATGTTATAAGATGCTTGAGAGCTAAAGATCTCGTATAGGGGTTCCTCTTATCAGCTCAGCCAGACACTCTCTTAGTTGCAATACACTTTAATAAGCCTGCATCAATATGTCATAAAATATCTTATCATGACAAACGAGTGGTGGTTGTTTCTATATGCAGGTATGGGTATGTCACACCTAATGATGTTCTTGAATTGCTCGATAAACAAATTGGGAAGGGAGAAGTCATTGACCGTATCTGGAGGTTTGTATCCTCCGTGTCATGACTTTATTCTAGAATTAATTATCATGGTTAATTTTCATTATTTCGATCATTATCATGGTTAAAATGACTACATGGAAATCTGTCTTTGAAAATTAAAACTCCACTTCTGTTTGGAACAGCGATTTTAAATGAAGAGCTGTAAATACATATTCTCATTTGTGGTAAGAACTGCATCTGGTTTAAGTGGAACTGATAGTTTGTTGCAATCTGATGTGTATTGTTCAGTAATTATAAGAACTGGAACTTATTATTCTTTCCTCTCCAGAGGTCAAATGGGTGCGAAAGCTAAAGAAGACGAACAAGTAGAGGAGCCGAAGCATGCCACTGAAACTAATGCGAATGTCAATGACAAACAACTTTCAGAGACTGTTACTGAAGTCGAGACGGAAGATGTGGGAAGCTGTTGCCAGGGTGTTAACGGGTTTTTGTGCTGCTGTGCTGAAAATGTTGATAAAAAACAAATTAAGAACAAATTCTCAAGCTGGGTGGGAAAATTTGAGCAGCGTAATGTCCTTACAACTGTTGCTGTGGTGGGTGCAGTTGCCACCATTGCTGTGGCTTATGGTTTTTACCGAAGGGCAAGGTGAATCATTGTTTTCTGTATTTTTCTGAAAAATATTTTAAGGTACTACTGGGTTTTATGTTCTTGGTTTTGTATGGAAATGCTCTGAGTAATGTGATGGACTCCTTAGGTGTGATTGCACCGTGTAAAGGAGAGAGAGCATAAATAGATATTTTTAAATATTAGCTACTGTGGACCTATTATTTTAATATTGTCCCGTTTTGTACCAAATATTCCCTGGGGTTTTCTAGTTTAGGAAAAAAAGGTGGCTGTATGTGCTATTTTTGTTGAAAGTGACTACACTTCAAATGTTGCAGCAGGCAGATGAATGAGTCTCTGTCAACTGATTTGTTCAATATATTTGGTTGCAAGTGGCTCTTGTTTTTGCTTATCTTCCTTGTTCCTTTTCTTCTTTTCTTCTTTCATTTTCCATTTTTTTTTTCTTTTTATCATTTTGCAGGTTTTCTGCGGGACCATGTGACCCTTGATGCATTTTCCATTTCTTATTGTGTCTTGTGTTAATAATGAAATATCCTCAGTTTGTTTGAGTTAGAAAAGTCCAACATTTTTTTTTTAATTCAGACATAAAAACTCCAACATTTGTTACTGTTCAACAAAAGCATTCGGAAACATCAAATCTGGTTTAGGAACTGTTGCATACTATGAGGTATGAACAAATGAGCTGAAGTGCAAATTTGGGTGTCAAATGTGCAAGATGATGGAGAATTGTTATATTTTATAGTTTAATGCATCATGCAACTGCAATTGTGTCGTGCTCAGAGCACTTTCAGTCGGATTGTGGGTCCCCCACTGGATCAGTCCGGTGGTAGCAAGTCAAGTAAAAGCCTAACCCTCATTCTACCGTAACTGCACATCAATTTGCCCTCTTACTAATTATTTTCCTCTAATCATTACCAAACATATCCATTAACCACAAACACACAATTCAAATTTACCGTTTGTCACAAACACAAGCAGTGTGACGGATCCAGTAATTTTACTCAGGGGAGTCCGATTTTAAATGTTAAATAACGAGCTTGTAGTTTAAGTCAAAACGCTCATTTCATATAAAATGTATTTACTATAAATATAAATATCGATATGTGTACCGTCAAGTTTTTAAAAACTTAGAATCCTATCACTCTCATTTTTTCTTTTTATAAAAGCTAGATTTCAGGTATTTTAATTTAATTTCAATATCTATAAGTTGTGGAAAAATAAGTTTTTTGGTTGAAAAATTTATTTAAATTGAATTTTTACAGCACATTGCATAATATTTTTATTGATGAGAGCGTACCAATTGAACAATTTTTAAGAAAAAAATAAATAGAGTTAAAAATATGTGATCACACAAAAATAAGTAAGAAATCAACATTAGAAAATGTAACAATCCAACTAAATACTCGGTTTTATATCACTAAACCGATTTACAGTTAAAAGACTGAAAGAGTAAATCATTATAAATATTTTAAAAAACTTATCTAGAAATGTAAAATATAAAGATTGTTAGTACATTTTTCAAGAAATAAATAATATTATTAACTTAAAGTAAATTAACATAGAAAATAAATTTTAATTATTAATATGTTATAAATATTTTTTTGTATTTTTATACATAATTTTGTATTTTATAGTATGTAATTATATATATATATTTTTTTATAAAAATGAAGGGGTCCATGGCCCCTGGGCCGGCTCCGTCAATTACACAAGAAACACTAACATCATTCCAAATTAGAAAATGATAAATACCATCATACCACATTACTGATCTACTGCTGCAAATCACATTGCGTAAGCATGGGCGGACGGACATATAGTTTAGAGGGGGGCATGGTCCCCTCCAAATAATATTTAAAATAAAATTATTAAAATTAATTTGATGTAAAAGTATGAGAGATATGATTTAAAGTGATGGTTAGTTAGAATAATGTGAGTGGGTGAATAGTAAATTAAGGTTGATGTGATGTGTATGAATAATTGATTTGATATTATTAATTATTTTGATAATACGTAAAATTGAGTTAAAATTAAATTAAAAAAGTAATTTAGTTAAAATGTTGGAATTTTTTTGAAAATTCTTATAAACAAACACGCTGGATAGATAATCTGAAATTAGCCAATTATCAACTCATACGACGCCGTTGAAGGCACAGAAGTCAGATCTGAGAGTTGAAATTCGGGAACTGCGGTGAAAGGTAAGTGAACGCCGATCAGTGAGCAACAATGGCAGAAAACGAAACCGTCATCAAGCCAAAGCCTCGGCCAATCATACGCATCGGCCTGTTTCTCATTGCCCACAGTCTCTTAGTAAGGTATATTCTTTCAGTTTGTGCAATCTAAATTTCTTAGATTTAAAGAAAACGTGGAAACTGATTGTTTTTCAAATGGTAATGAATTGTTTAGTGTGGTATGCTGCATAGCAGGGATTGTAACTCTTCTCCTTTTGCCTCTTCTCGCGAAGAACACTTATATCTCTGAGAATGCTCTAATGCCTGGTGAGTTTCACTTGCTCGTTCCCCTCAAATTTTCTGTCTGTATTTTTTTTAATGGGACGATTGTCTGTTGATCTTTTTATCATATTTATTTTACGTATTATGATGCTATTTTATCCCTCTTTGTTTTTGAATCATCCTGTAGGTTCTGCTACTCCTATGCTCTCTCACAATGATGCTTCGGATGGGCACAGTTTTTTGAACCGAATACTGAATCTGAATTCACAGACTGGCATGTAGGTATTTTCAGTTACACCTGCGTTTGTATATAGGCTCCTGAGAATCTTGCTTGCAAACTGAGAGCTGCATAAAGAGAGACACTTTTAATTCATATAGTGATATGTTTTCAGGACTACTAACATCTATTTTCATGAGGTTCTAGTGACAATGGAATTTAATTACAGAGTATTAAATTGATATATATGAAGAAGTCAATCGTTGAGTAGACTAGCTCAAGTTCTGAAGCAGAAGACAACGTCATTTTGTTTCGGACAAAGTTCTAGTATGCTAGAGGGTCTGCAATTGCAATTGAACTGTACATTCTCAACACATTTAGATGAAAGACAGACAAGTTTCTTTTGCATGCAAAAGGAACCTCCAACTGTTATAACCTTTAGCTTTTATTGTTTGTGTGTATGCAAAAGTGATATGCCGCTGCCCTTTCTCATTTACAGTATGTTGATTTTTTCATAAAACTGTTACAACCTTTTGTTCAGGTGTTCGCTTTAAACATTTTATATGCAGTGAAATTTCTGAATTGATAGCAGAACACATGATGGAGTTGGGTGGCGAAACTAGCTATCACAAGTTCCAACCAATACCTAACAAGTTTCATCCCCTACACTTTTTCTTGGGTCCTGATGCTGGAATAATAAAAGCAAACCACAGCTGTTCCTCTTATGGGATCAACACGGTTGGAATTATAAGGGCCCCACGTGGTGATGGGAAGGAAGCCATAGTAATTGTAACACCTTATAATTCCACGGATATAACATTTGGTGAGGCTTTATCTCTAGGGGTTTCTTACTCAGTCTTCTCTCTCCTAGCTCGAGTTACTTGGCTCGCAAAGGATATAATATGGCTTGCTGCCGACTCGAAACATGGAGAATTTGCTGCGGTTGGTTCATGGTTGAGAGATTATAACACACTTTCTTTTGGTGATTTAAAGTCGCATCAGGAAATATGTTTTGCAGGTAATCTTTTTTACAATAAACCTTTGATGTTTGATCTAATCCCAAAAAAGCATCTGACTTTCAAAATTACAAATAATACATCTCAGATTTTATGTTGCCTTGTGTTTACCCACTTTATGGGCGGAAAAGCATTTCTAGCCCCTGCTTCACAAATTTAAAAATATTACTATAGATCCTTACTCTTAACACTGAATCATACCTGAGGGGGCATTTTTGGAAGTTTATTAGAGTTTGATGTTTCTTTCTTCTTTTTTTTTCTTCTCTAATTTGGCCAAAAATTTAGGGTACTTTCTAGTTCACCCATTTTTAGTTATTATCATGTATATTTTAAGCACCTCATTGTGGGTGTATGAATAAGAGTAGACTCAAGACCCTACCTTCTAAATTGTAAAGAACTACAGAGATACATTATTCGGAAGGAAAATGTAATCTCTCCTTGTGTGGTGCAGGTACTTTGGGTGATCGTAAAACGACTCGAGGTCATGGAGATGCAATATCCAATGACTTTCGAAGAGCTGGCACAATGGCAGCTGCCCTTGTCATTAAGGTTGCTGATAACAGCATGGAGTTCGGAAATGATGTTCTCAACATTTATGCTGAGGCTTCTAATGGGCAGATGCCAAATTTGGACCTCATTAATATTGTTAATTATTTGGCAGTACATGGGCAGGGCTTACAAGTAAGGGTGGACAAGGTTTGGTCGTTGCTTGATTCTTGGTGGTTAAAAAGTCTTGGAAAATTATTCGAGGTGCTTGGGATAGTGGGTAAAAGCTTAAATCCACAGTGGAAGTTCGGTATACCTGCTGCGGATTATGTTGACGGCTGTGCCACTCTTGCCAGTTCCTTATATAACCAAGTATGCCTCATTTTTGATAGGTGGCTATATCAACTATTGTTGTAATGGTGTTAATTACGAAAGCTACAGCTGAGCTTTAGGCTAATAAAAAGAGTAGGATGACTGTTATCTTTTAAAATTATAAATCACCCCATGACATTTGTTTCTCCTCTAAAAGTTGCACTATTAAGTATGCAAACCTAAACAAGATCATTGTTACACTTGAAAGATATATTTATAATTGTGAAAGTAACTCCATTTTTTATTAATTAGGCTAAACCTATGTGGTAGTTCTTGGGGCCACTATCTGGAGGGTTGAGATCGTGTGATTTTTTTGGTTGGCTTTCTCAGCCTAACCTTCTTATAGCTTTGAATGTAACAAAGGGTTTACTTTGTTGTTTGAATTGTTCTCTATGAGGCTTAAATGGCTAATATCCTTTCGGTTTTGGTAAATGTTCGTTTGTCACTGTTAATTACTAACGGATTTGTTACATTAGGCATTAGGTGTTCCCACCGGCCCACATGGTGCATTCCGTGATTATCAAGTTGATGCGATCACTATGGAAATATCACCAAAGTATTTATCTGCAAGTCAGAGGATTATGTTCCTACAGCGTGTTGGCAGGTTATTGTTAATTAGGGCCTTTTGTCACCTAAATTTGGTTAACCAATCAAAGCATGTGGTTCACGGTCATGATGTTTTTTTGAGCTTTTTGTCCTGATAATTATTTGTTATTATTAGGTTAATTGTGAAAACCTATTATTTCGGGAGTGGGATAGTTATGAAGAAAATCTAGAGAAGTTTCAAAATCAGAGAAAACCTCTTTGGAGTTTGATGCTACTTACATTTTCCCAGACTTTACTTGTAAAAAATATATCAGCCCCCCACCCAACGTTAATAAAAGTACTAGAGCATTCCCTTCAATTTAAGACAGAAGGAAACATCAAGCAATTAATGTAATTTTTAACATGTTTAGGGGTAATTTTGTAATTATCATTAAACAAATTCTCTGTTTTTCTTGTCATGCCCCATTATTTTTTTCTACATTTGATATATTTTTTTTTCTGGAAAAGAAATATGCGTCTGTTTAATTGTTCATTTATTTATGTGTTCTATCTGAGATTGAATTCTCTATGTTTGACAACAGGTTGGTTGAAGGAGTCATACGATCCGTGAATAATCTCCTCGAGAAATTTCATCAGTCCTTTTTCCTGTATCTTTTAACATCTCCAAGTAGGTTTGCTTCAGTTGGAGTCTACATGATTGCCTTTGCTTTACTCATTGCTCCACTTCCACTAGTTTCTGCCTCTCTTTTTTCCAATGCTAGCAAACTTGGAAAGAGCAATACCCAAATTCCATTCAACCCATCTTGGAAATGGCTTAGCGCAGCAAAAACCGTTCTTATTGTCCACTTATGGGGCGCATTCGTAACCTTACTTCCTTATTTTATCTCCCTAAACCCTGATTCCTCGCCTTCAGTCAACTGCACAGCTTGGGCTGTGCTTTCTTTGCTTACCCTCCTATTTGTGTTTGCAGTATTTAATTCTTTTTCCATTTTAAATAAAAACCAACCTCAGATAAACGAATGGGCTCTCGTTAAATCGGTGACAGTGGCTGCTGCTTTCATTGGACTTTGTCTAATGTCTGTTATAAATTTTGCAACGGCTGAAATTGGTTCATTAGTGTTGGTGCCGATGTGTTTGACAGTTGCGCCCTTAAGGCGAAAAGTAAATTCTGTGAGAACAGTCATCCTTGGTGTGTGTAATGTGGCATTGGTGTTTGTGGGCTTTCCTCCGGTTGCTTTCCTTTTGTTAAAAGGTGGGTTGAATGGATTTGACACAGTTGGATTTGGCGATTTCTGGGTTTGGGCCGAGTCACTTTGGGCTTGGAATAGTGCGACTTATATTTACTTATGTATGGTCCATCTTCCTTGCTGGGTTTTATGTATTCACACTCTGCTACATCCTTCCTGAAGTGCTCTAGTTTTCAGGCCAGTGTTTGTTATAAATTGGTCGGCAATGGAGCTATAGACATTCCCTATGCTACAGAGTTATAATTCGAGCAGTTTATGGGTTGTGAAACTTTCCACCTTGTTAGTGTTTGTGGTCTCATGATTCTCATTTGTTGTACCTGAGGTTTTTGCAGCCTAATTAGTCATCTTTTTAGATTATGAATATGCTCACGACATTTGTTAATGCTTTGCTAGAGGGCATTCTTAAGGTGAATATTTGTGTGGCTGTATACAACAAAACATCAGAAGGACACTGGCAAATCGCAAATGACAGCTTAAATGACTCCTATCTTATGCCTTTTCTGCAGAATTCCTTTTATATGACATATTCCAATTCTATCATAATCTAATATTTTCCAAACTGCAAATAAATATGTGAGGTGGGTTAACCGTTAGGAGTTACCCGTCATAGTTTATTAACGAATCTGCAAACCTTTTTTTTTTTTAATATGACATTTCAATTTAAAATTACCTATAAATGTTGAAGAATTGTGGTTGTCCAACCGCTCGACATTTCTAACAGCATATTTATTGTTTCAAAAAATATTAGGCTATGTTTAGATTGAGGAATTCATTAAGGGATTTGAAATCTACAAGATTTCAAATTTACAAGTCCAAATCCCCTTACAGGTTCCGATGATAATAGAAGTTTGAGTATTTGAAATTCACCTAGATAGATTTTAGTCATTAATTTGAAGGAATTTAAATGACGTAGCAAACCTAGTTTTTTGGCATCCACTATTTATCCCACCGTTGACAACTATACCGTCCTCGAGTATGACTTATAAGCAGTTGGGCAGTCGTGGATATATTACACTCATTGTAGTACATTATTTATAGAAAGCGAGATCTTGTCTTCAGTACATATTCATTTTTTAGATCTATAACAATGATTGACGAAGCAATATACCGTCCTCGAGTATGACTTATAAGCAGTCCGAAGGCGGATTGAAGTTGTCGTTTCGTGATCGTCGACTGGCCGTTTGGATCAACATCCGTTCGATCCGCGCCATGACCTAGTACGTTGATTGTCTGTCCTCATTGATGGAATGCACACTCTCTTCCAATCGATCAATCTGCTCCCTATTCAACATTATGATACACAGTCAAATCTCTCAATAAAAGCACCAATGATGAAGATCGTGTATCGGGAAGTTAAAATGCAATAACCCAGACTAGCGTCCATCGGTTATGCACGAGGATTTGTGCTAGAAACCTAGCGTTTTTAATTTTTTATTGCTTAAATTTCTACCAATCGATCAATACAACTTAAAAAGAAAAAATTACTAAAATATTGAAAATTAATAAAGTCCTAACTAATAATAATTTAACGAAAACGACATATAAACTAACAATATTCTAATCGTCTACGTTGAGCATAGGCTGTAGGCAACGCAACCGGCCATGCTGGGCCTTAAATTCTCTGCCTAGGGTGATCGAATCCCAAAGAGAGGGTACCGTCGATAACTTTTCCCACCTCTAGAGGAAAGGGACAAACTGGTAATCACTGTGGCATTAGACCTTCTGGGCGCTAGGGTATAAAGGGGGTGGTACGACTGATAATAGAGCACATTCCACGGGTTAACTCTCGAAGTAGCCGAGGGGCCAACTATAAGAGTCCATGACTGACAGACGCATAATATTCTAATCGGCCCTTTTACGTCCTAGCCCCGCGACCTGCTGCTGCTGCTGCGGGCCTGCCGGCTCTGTCACTGCTGTTGTTTGCCAAACTCCATGCCCATGACTGGGTGCCCCGTCGCCTTGATACAAGCTTGGTTATAGGCGTTTTACAATTATTGCTCCTCGTCCGTATCACAGACGAATGCTACTAATTTCCAAATTTGGTCGCCAACAGCTTTTTCAACCTCCGCCTCCGCCCAGCGGCGGACGTCCGTCGAGATACCGGTGCTCAGCCTCTCGTGCTTTGTCTTTTCACCTTGTAGAAGTGTCGGTTTGCGCCTTGGTGGCTAGTGGTCCCAACCGTCGGCCAGTTAGCCTGACCGGGTCGGGCCGCTCAGCCGTGTGGTAAGGTGTCTCCTTTGGTCTTTGTTTCGAGGCCTCCGGCGTTATCTTTGCGGCTTCCCCATCTTCCCCCAGTGTCGATCTGCTTCGGGTCCAGATCTAGACTAAACATTCGTCTAGGCAGTTTGAGTGTCTGCAGTTTTCGAGTTTGAAGTCAAAATCTGTTAATCGTGTGGGTTTTGGTTAGGTGGTCGTGTGGGTTGTTTGATCAACTAGAAGAGGTTTTACTCTTATTGTGTATATTATGTGTGTGTTTTTTATTTTTTAGTTGTTTTTTAGTTCGTACAAGTCCAACTATGTCTGGATTTCTGTCTCATTTATGGAGTTACAGTCTCCTTTATGGAGTTGAGTTTTTTGTGTGTGCGGTTAACAGTTGCGTCTGGATTTGTATGTGAAGTTGACACTCCTATTGTACTCGTTTGAGGTTTTTTATTTATGAATATAATTATTGTTTCGAAAAAAAAATATTCTGAATATTTGGAATTAGCCACTTTTTAGTTTAAAAATTTTTAAAACCTCCCGCGTTAATTATTCTCTCTCCAAAGAATTTTAGAGCTCTGAATAATAGTCACTAGCTCAAGACGGAAGGAACAAAAAGAGTAGAAAGAACATCTTTATCCTCCGGCGCTCAGTCCACCGCCCATCTCAGATCGGACGACGCAACCCGCCCTGGAACCGCGAATTTGATCTCACCGGTAAAAGCACCAAAGATCTTGCCTCCTACTTCTTAATCGTCTAGCCATAATTGCTCAAATGGTTGAATTCGAAATTTATCATGTTTGTTTGTTTGTTTGTTTTTTTTTTGTTGTCGTTTTAGTGGTGGGAAAATACTACTTGAGATGACAAATGATTAAATAGGCTGTTGTAATTGTTGTTCATCAATAGATTTAAAGTTCTCGGGCTGAGGATTGTTTTTTTCATTTCTTTTTGAATTCTTTAATATACTGGAATGGTTAATTGCATGCTGAATTTGTGAAANGGCAATTTGTATGAATGAGAGATTGGATTGAAATTTGAATGCTTTTGCTTATGTTTTAAGGATAAATAAATCTGGAAGAACTATATTTTGATGATAATGTTGGAATTAACTTTAGGCGAAAACCATCGCTTTAATCCAGGAGCTTTCGTCTTGAATAATTGAGAATCGAAACTGAATAACGGAAGCGTACCTGAATCCATATGTGATTGATTTGGAGATTTGGCCTTCTAGGTCTATACAATCGTGTACCTTTCAGAGAACTCTTTAGCTTTTCTCTGTAACCTCTCTGTTGGTGGGATGCAGAAGAGTTGTGATGTCGATTCAAATCTTCTTTTCTTGGTTTGTTTTCCCTTAATACAATTAACACAAATGTCAAAATCTGTAAAGTCTAAGGGATCGAGAATTTCGTCGGACACAAGTCTCTCTATTCTCCGTTTGGAGATATGACCTAATCTCTTGTGCTACAACGTAGTTGAATTCTCATCAGTTAATTTTCTTTTCACACCACGTGTATTTAAATGCAGAGACTCATTGAATGAAGCAATAGTATCTAGTAAATAAAGATTATCATAACCTGATAAAGAATCAGAACCAACCAATTTTGAATCATGAAACAAACTGAATTTTCCACTTTCAAATGAACAAGAATAACCGAATTTGTCCAAAACAGAAATAGAAATCAAATTTCGTCTAAAAGACGGAACAACAAATGTCTCATCAAGATCCAAATAATATCCACTCTTTAACAATAATCTAAATTTTCCAATTGCTTCAACTTCAATTGTCTTGCCGTCACCCACATAGATGTATCTTTCACCATCACTTGGTTTTCGGCAATGGAGGCAACCTGCATGGACACACTGTGAGTTGTGGCACCAGAATCTATCCACCACGTGTGTCTAGGAACTGAAGTTAAATTAACCTCAGAACAAACTAAATTAAACAGCATACCTTTCTTAGCACGCCAAGCGTGGTAGTTGGCACACTACTTCTTTGTATGCCCTTCAATCTTATAAAAGAAACAACCTGAAGTGGTGTTAGAATTGACACCATTAGGCACACTAGGTGCTGCTTGTTGTTTCTTTTGTGGGACTATATTTGCAGCTTCCTTATCCTTATTTCTCTTTATTCCCTTGCCCTTATTTTTGGAAGTATAGGCAATATTAGAGCTCTCTGTCTTATCTTGCTTCAACCTTTCCTCTTCTTGGACACAGTATGAGATGAGCTCATTCAGAGACCAAGTCTCCTTCTGATAGCTATAGCTCACCTTAAACTGGTTAAATTGTCCCGGAAGAGATAACAAAACCAAATGCACTAGCAATCCCTCAGAGAGTTCAAGCTTAAGTGCTCTTAATTTTGAAGCAGTATGAGACATCTCCATAATGTATTCCCTAATATTACCTTTACCACCAAACCTCGTTGAGATAAAATTTGCCAAAAGCGTACCAATTTCAGCCTTTTCGTTCTTGACAAACCTTTTCTCAATATCTGCAAGGAATTCCTTAGCAGTAATGATATTTTCAAACATAGTGCCCCTGAATGCTTCCGGAATGGCTTTCTTTATGATCATCATACATATGCGATTCATTTTCTCCCACCTTTCAAAGTCCCTCTTTTCATCTGATTACTGTTATCCGTAAGAGGAGGTGGAGAATCAGTCCTTATCGCAAGATCGAGATCCATGACACCGAGAATTATTAAAAGATTCTCTTGCCATGCCTTAAAGTTTGAGCCATTTAGCATAGGAATATAGTTGATGCTGGCAGTGATATTAGCAGAAGTAGACATAGCTGAATCAAAGAAAAAATAAACTGATCATGCTCATGAAAAATACTTAGAATTAAAATGATAAATTCAAATAAAGGTAACCCCATCTCAAGACATCGTAACTCCATTAATATTTTATCTTTGGACAAGATATTAACTTGTAATTGACATCTTGATGCAGTAATCAAACATTGATAATAAGAACATATCAAACAATAAATCTTACTTTGGGCCGATTTATTGTTCACATGTATAACCAAATAATCATCATACGTTTATTACCGTAATTGCACAAGTAATTCTAATGAGTACTCCCCTTCCTTTGGGCCGGTTAATACTCACTCAAATTACATGCACTCATACCCTTTTATATTTCAAAACAAATTAATTTCCACAAAAGAGGTCGCTCTGGCGACATGTTGTTTCAATTAATTTATCTCAAAATATATAAAACTTTATACCAATATTCGAATTCAAAATTTAAAATTCTAAGACTGAAAAGTAGACTTAAAAGTCTAATCTTTAATCTATATATATATAATTACTAGCTAATAGAATTTAATAAAACCTATTTAATTTTACCTATGTGGCAATTTA